ATCCTTATGTTATCTATTGTTTTGATAATTTCTTTGTTTTTTCAACTCATGTATTTTATTGTTTTTGGTGTTTTATTTAATTTCCAACTTTATTTCAACTATTTTGACCCCAAAATAAACACCTAAACTATAAACAAGACCAAATAACCAATGTTTTATCTCTTTATTTTGAAAAATGAGATTTCCATATGTTTTGTACACAAATCACAAAAATGAGCGATTTTCGGGCTGACATGCCAAGACAAAAGGACACGCGACTTTGTAATGATAGGTCTGATTTTCGAAAAATTTATTTCAAAAGATGCGCAAGACTCGAAAGAAAAAAGTCACAACATTTCAGTGCAAGATTTGCTTGCGTTAAAAAAAATTATCGCGAAAAAAATGTCGAGGGGGGTTCAAAAGCCCCCCCCCCCCCCGGGTTAAATAGGGTTAATGAAAACTCAGTGATGCGTTAATGACTTGGTTTACTGACTAGGCAGTAGATCTACTAATTTAACACAATTTTCATCGACAACTGAGAATGTTTACTCGTTTTTTTCTACACCAGTTGAGAATACTCGTTCAAGTGATTTTTGTTTATATATCATCGAGTAAAATTAAACATACCAAGGCGGCAAAAAATGTGATGCTTGGTCATGTAATCCAGTTCAGGTGTAAAAATCATATTTTCGAACTGCAATTCACCCGACTATATGAGTTTGTTAAGGGTTTTACTCGAAACAGGGAGTTCTTGTTTTTTGTGTGTATGGTGTGAAATATAATTTTTACTCTCGTGTTTTATTTGCACTTCTATGCCTCTGTAATATGTTTGTATTATTTCTTGACTTTAATTCCAACAGTGAACCCGTGTAATATATCTGGTCAACCACGCGGCCTTAAAAGTGATGCTCTTCCCGATTCGGCTTTCTCCGAATCATCCTGCTACTCGGCGGCCTTCTGCAGCCGTTTTGGCCGCCTGAACGATGACACAGCCTGGATCGCATACTCGTCCGACCAAAACCCATTGATGCAGGTCCAATTTGAGTGCAGTTATATTGTAACAGCCGTAACTACTCAGGGTAGAAATAACGTTGGTCAGTGGGTGAAGTCATACACTTTTTCGTCTAGTTTTGACAACATGGCTTGGACTGATTATTTGAACGTTTACTCTGAATCAGTTGAGGTGAATGCAAAACTGCGGTTCCTCATTTAAATGTTTAAAAAAACTTAATCAAATGATAGCCATGTGACTCACACGCTTGCAAGGCCGATAGTTGGACGCTCTTTCCGGGTCCATCCAAAGACCAATCACGGTCTCCTTTCTTGAGGATGGTACTATATGGGTATGGACCTCTAACTGATGTCATATGTAATGCTATGGTCACATTACCCAAAAGTAGACTGCTCGGCGGCCGAGCGGCGAGTTTTTAACCAATTCTGCCCGGCGGCTGCCCAGCCACCGAGCGGCTGCCGTCTAGGCACCGCTCGTTTTTAGGGCATCGCTCGGTCGCCGCTGAAGTTTTAGCGCGGAGTTAAAATTTGGGCGGCGCCTGCTCACTTTTCACTCGCCGCCCAAAATACGCTCGGTGCCTGGGCGGTCGCCGCCCGGGCACCGACCTAATCGCTGGGCGATGCCTAATTCCAGCAGCGACCGAGCAGGCTACTGATCGGTCGGTCGCTGCTCTGATTTGTGACCATAGCTTTAGTGCAGAGTAGGACTGTTAATAAATGAGAAAGTTTACCACTGGTAAAAATAGCAAAAGTGACCTCTAATTGATGCCATAAAGTAGGTGGAACGTAGGACTACTAGTCAAAATCAAAATATACGATAATTGTTATTTCGTTCAGAGGTCTAGGTACCATTTTCAAAAGACAGGAATTAAGGTAAATACACATTTTTAGAGATTGTTTAAAATAATTTCTAACCCTGTTCAAATATCTGACCCCGCCCACTGTTCTCTAACCCACCCCTTCCTATATTCTGACCCTCTTTAATTCTACGATTCTGTTTTTTGGTCTCCGACACTTCTTTCTCTCTCCATGTCTGTGCTTTCCCGTCATGTCTGCAAATTAACACCCACCGCCGCCCTTCCTCTCACTCTTTCTTTCCCCCTCCCATCCCTTTCTATCTTTCAGCCTTTCTCTCTCTCATGCTCTCTCCATTTAACGCCCCCCCCCCTCTCTCTCTCTCTCTCTCTCTAACTCTCTGTCCCTCTTCCTCTATTTCAATTTCTCTCTCTCTCTGTCTCCGTCCCTTCTTCCATCTCAATCTCTCTCCATCCCTTTTCTCTCCCCCTATGTCATCCATTTCTACCTTTCCGCCTTTCTCTCCCTCATGCTCTCTCCAGTCAACGCCCCCTCTCTCTCTAACTCTCTGCCCCTCTTCTTCTATTTCAATTTCTCTCTCTCTCTCTGTGTCCGTCCCTAACTTCCATCTCAATGTGTCACTCTCCGTGCCTTTCCTCTATTTCAATATCTCTCTCTATCTCTCTCTTTCTATCCATCCTTCACCTCTCCCTCTCCCTATCTTCATTTCTCTCTGTGAAGCATACTTTCTCCTTGATTTTAAACGTATAATAAATCACCCATGTACAAATCAAATCTTGTTAAAGCCTCTCTAAAGTGTTGGGAGCCCCCAAAAATTGATGGCAAAAATTATCTTCAATCGTATAATGAAGAAAGTGAAAGAGGATGTCATTTAACACTGACTTCTGCAAGAATTTTCAGGAAATTATCAAAATAGTTCATTACGAGTGATACCCCACCCCTTAAAGCAAAACAAGGCCCTAAAACAGGTGGATTCTTGAAAGTATAAACTTGTGAAATATTGTTTCTCCCGAGGTCAAGGTCTGGACATGCGATCGATAGACAATCCATCTTTTTCTGAATAGTAATTGAATATAAATGCCACTCATTGTTTACTGTACAAAATCACAGTACTGAATAAAGGTGCAGCAACTTAATTTGGGCTAAGTCATAATTATAATAAAGATATCAACTGCCTGTTGCTACGATAAATATATGAGCTACATTTTATTTGTAATGCTGTGTTACAAAATAGATAAACTTATGCATCAAATGAAAAAGTGGGAATCGGACCCATCTTTACATCATCAGTCCAAGACGTATCATCTATTCACAGATCTCACATACATGTAGATCTCTATGTTTATATCAGGTGTCTCAATTTTAAAACAGAGAATTTGATGTAATAAATTTATTATTTGAAAGAAAAGACAAGACACTTTTAGAGCAGAAGTGAGATTTTCAGAAGAAAATAATGAAGAAAAGAAGAAGAAGAGGACGAAAAAAAAAGAAGAAGATGAGGAAGTAGACGAATAAGAAGAAGAAAAGATAGAAGTAAAAGAACAAGAAGAAGAAGAAAGAAAAAAAGTAGGAGGAAAAGAACAAAAACAAGAACAAGCAAGATCAACAATAAAAGCAAGTACCAGCAACAGCAGCCGCATGTATTAGCAGTATAGTTTTAGTAATAACGCTGATGCAGATAATGCTGATAATGATTAAATGATAATTGCAATAATAATAGTAATAACAATGATACTAATAATAATGATGGTGATGATAATGATAATGATGATGATGATTGGCTTTAGTTTTACTTTAAGTCTTGAGGCTTACCTTAAGGATTTAGGTAGAACTGAGACTTATCGCCTGTAATGTAAACTGTACTTTTGAACGATTTGCATTTCCCCTATCCAACTAATATATTATAATTAAGCACACAAAGAATTATACATGAACATATCATATCGCCACTTCTTTACCCATTAAGTTGCCTCATTCAATATTATTTAAACTGTACAATATATCAAATCATTTCATACCAAAAATTGTGATATTGTAATCATAAAACAATGGACAAAACGCAATCAGCTGTTTATAATTGCTTTATTTTTTTCCCAGAAAAGAAAAACAAGTAGTATTCAACAAGTACAATTGAAAAGGCATAACTATGTGGAATATCAATACAAAGACAATACATTGTTACGTAGTAATAACAACAATGATACCATTCCGTTTTATATGGCGCATATCACATTACAATATTCCGTTTCTATGCGATTCCAAGTGCTAAGAAACTTACCTTGTAAAAGTATCCCGGCATTACCTACGCAACCGTTATAGGCTCACACTTATGTGTTCGAATAAAAGAATTTTACAAGTCAATACCCATTTATCATTTGACAAAATATAATAGAGTATAATCATAACAGTTAAATGTAAAATAACGAAAGACGAGGAGACCTTGGTTGAAGCACAGCTTGTTAATATGTTAAGGCCTCCTCATGTGATGTGACAAAGATAACTGATTCATGAATACAACAACAAATATGGAATATATAAAACTATTTACAAAACACTCTCAGAGAACAACTACCAACTTGCCATGGGTGTAGAGTGGCAAATGTAGACTTTATGTCCTGCCAAAGAGGACACAATGGAAGATACTCAAGTTCAACCACTTAAAAGAATCATGGTTTTCTATGGGGAGAGATGGCGCTCGATTTTCCGACGGCTCATTTTTCTGAAAGTTCGTAATTCCTAAGCTTCATAATTGGGAAATTAAACAAGGTTAATAATTCTGGAAATGAAAAATAAAGCGTTCATGATTCCAAATATTACATGTGGTTCTAAACTTCTATCGCCTTTCAGGAATTATGAACCAGTCCTCCGGAATTGTGTGCCCCCTTTCATTTTTCGGAATTACGAAACTTTGGAGCAACGAACCTTGGGAAAAACGAACCTTCGGAATGAATTTAAGGAATTATGAGAATTCTGAAATATGAACCTTCGTTACAAATATTTAAAAAACGACATGAAATCGTTTTTCTCATACATATACCATGTTCATAGTATCAAGTATCAAGTATCAAATTTATTTGTCTTCCAGAAAAACACATGTGAAAAAATATGATAGAGTATAATCATAACAGTACAATGTAGAATAAAGAAAGACGAGGAGGCCTTGGTTGAAGCACAGCTTGTTAATATGTTAAGGCCCCCTCATGTGATGTGACAAAGATAACTGATTCATGAATACAACAACAAATATGGTATATATAAAACCATTTACAAAATACTCTCAGAGAACAACTACCCAACGATGCATCGACCACAGCATGGATGACTACAACAAGCATACCCGAAGTTGCGCACATCCCCATCACACCGGGTGAGCTAACAAACTCAACGTATGTGCGAAAATATGTATCACTTGAGCAAAAATCAACCCGCCCATGAGAGGGTGATCTAATATGGACTAACCCAAGCTGACAACAAATCGAGACATCAATGAGTTATTGCTCTCTGAGTGCGGAGGTCAAGTAGGAATATATGGTATATGTACAGATTGGAAAGAAAAAGAAAAAAGGAAAAGGGATCAAGGGTATTATGTCAAAGTCAATAAACAACGAAAAATAGATCGAGAGTAGAGTTAAATATGCTACAGTACACACAAAATGAAGCTTGATAACACAATCATGTGTCATCGACATACTTGTGAATATGAGCCTTCGTTAAAAATAAAATAAAAAACGACATAATCGTTTTCCTTATACATGTACTATGTTCATAGTAACGTCGAGAGAGGCAAGTATTGATCAAATGCCTAGTCAAATGCCAGTGTACGCATCCGGCAAAGATTCGAACCCTCAACCTCCCGATTCAAAGTCAAGGACATGAACCATGAACCATACACATTAAAATTGTTAAAGGAGAAAGTGTACATTCACCACACTCTAATTTCAGATTACTCTCTATAAATAAGTTATACAAATCTAATTTTCCCAGTATTGATAAACATCACCTGACTTTAACATAAAAACAAAGCAACGAGTGCAGCACGAATGTATTAGACTACATATAGTAATTTTTTTTATTTTTTTATATATGTTATAATTATTTTTCTATCACCACAAATATGAAACATTTAAGATATAATTTCTATATTAGAGAATACAAACAAACAAAAAGGAAAGGGGGATTTGACGTGTTTGGAAACCAGCAGACCTACACACAAAAAAACAGTACAGGGGCGTTTAGTAGGCCCCGGAATACATCATTATTTCATCTGATTTATTTCATCTATAAAAATGCACATATACCTTGTAAGGGATATGTAAAAAAAAAAAAAAAAAAAACATTTGGACTTTGATAGAAAAAAAATCTGTATTATCTCGTATATTTCGGATTAAATTCCAGATGTTTTGACATATTTACGTACTGTTGAGAGGACCAAACCCCATTACCGTAATAGAAAAAGCAATACGTTGTAATAATGTCAGTATTGAAGGGAAAAACAAACCTGACCAAGTTTCATCATTGTAGCTCATGTGAATTGGATAAACTAGTTTGATATGTTCTATTCAATGTCTATCGAACAGCGTGAAAAAAAATTATCATTCAAGTTATGGTTCGGTATTTTGAGCCAATTAGAGATCTGCCACATTTTCACGTGGTAAATAGAGAGGTTTAATATACACATGTATCCCGTTTCCCGTATTCAATATCTTTTTCATGACTTTGAAGAACAAATCTCTCCAATGAAGTAGATGCAAGGGGCACGATGTATACAACGAACAAAACGTGCCTCGTTCCCCCTCGTTGGTAGCCTCGACAATTTATACTTCATCCATCTAATAAAATTACTGACAATCCCAGTAATGCCAGAGGCCCCCGCTACACCACTGCCTTACTGAATGATTATATTCTTGTCTAGCTATCTCTTCGTGGTGCTATGTCTTGAGGGTATCGAGTCCATTTGTATTGTCCTGACCTGAACGTTGGAGAAGAGAACAAGATTACATAAATATATGTACAAAGTATAAAACGGTGCTTTCCACGCCTTGGAAATGAGTTGAGTGAATTAGTCATGCTTGCACAGTCGATTTGAGAAAAAATGGAACTTTGTGTAACATTTCTGTACAAAACAATGAGAGTGTAACTCGGAAAACAGCAAATCAAGACGGAAACATTTTTGCGCAGACCAATTTTCACGAGCTTTTCGAAATTAGGCAGTGCTCACTCAGGCATAAAATTGTAGCAATACTTTTAGTGCTATCCGTTTGAAAAGACCCTCACCCATAATTAAGCATACACATCGCACACAAAATCGTATAGTGCTCTTGCAAAAAAAAAGTTGGTCTTAATTTTGAAATAGGTACTTCTGCAAATGATTTATATATATATATATATATATATATATATATATACATATATATGGGAGTGAATAAAATGGTCTAGGAACGTGAGACGTAGCTGTATTTTACGATTTTATTACGAGTTTTCGGCTTGTGAGGCCTTCTTCAGTACAGCTACGTCTCACGTTCCTAGACCATTTTCTTCACGCCTACATATTCCGGACCACCCGTTGTCATGTCAGAGTTGAGAATGGGAAGGCGTGTCTGTTTTTTTGTTATAAAGGTGAGAAACTCATGAGCCACTGAACACTGGCGTTCTGATGGGGGGGGGGTGTATTTTTTATTCGATACAAGTGATTTACAAATGTTGCTGAAATGACATGATTTTCCGGTACGTTTTTTTTCTCTATTTTTTTGTAAGTCATACCTTTTTATGCGTTTGTAGGAAAATTAGAATTCCCAAATTAACAGTCGGGCGAAAAATATGCTTATTTAGAAACCTTTATGTCAGGGTCTGCAAAACGGCCAGGCTCGGGGGCTCGAGCCCCTCTCACTTTTTGAAAAAGTTTGTTACAGAGAAAAAAAAAGAAAGAGAGAGAGAAAAAAATAAGTGACCTGCCAATGTTACAAATGAGGTATCGAAATATGCTCATCTGACCGTAATTAAATGCCTAAAACCCCAGAGCTTACGGGGGCTCCGCCCCGGACCCCACCAAGGGCCCTAAGGCAGTCCCCTGTATGCTCATCTGACCGTTATTAAATACTTATAAACCCCGAGCTTCCGGGGGCTCTGGACCCAACCAAGGGCCCTAAGACTGGACCCTGGATGCTCATCTGACAGTAATTAAATGCCTAAAACCCCAGAGCTTACGGAGGCTTGGCCCCCGGACCCAACAAAAGGCCCAAAGGCGGTCCCCTGTATGCTCATCTGACCGTTATTAAATACCTAAAACCCCTGAGCTTCCGGGGGCTGTGACCGCACCAAGGGCCCTAAGGCGGGGCTCTGGATGTTCATCTGACCGTAATTGAATGCCTAAAACCTCTGAGCTTCCGGGGGCTGTGCTCGCTGGACCACACCAAGGGCCCTAAGGCGGGGCTCTGGATGCTCATCTGACTGTAATTGAATGCCTAAAACCCCAGAGCTTTTAGGGGCTCCGCCCCCCGGACCCCACCAAGGGCCCCTGTATGCTCATCTTTATGCCTAAAACCCCTGAGCTTCCGGGGGCTGTGCTCGCTGGACCACACCAAGGGCCCTAAGGCGGGGCTCTGGATGCTTATCTGACTGTAATTGAATGCCTAAAACCCCAGAGCTTATGGGGGCTCCGCCCCAGGACCCCACCAAGGGCCCAAAGGCTGTCCCCTGTATGCTCATCTGACCGTTATTAAATACCTAAATCTCCTGAGCTTCCGGGGCTCTGCCCCCTGGACCCCACCAAGGGCCCTAAGGCGGGGCTCTGGATGCTTATCTGACCGTTATTGAATACCTAAAAAAAAAACGAACTTCTGGGGACTCTGTTCCCTGGATTCTTCGCCAATAAGCGGCCTGCCAGTGTCACAAATAAGGTATTTTAATATGCTTCTCTGACCATAATTTTAATGCCTAAAAACCCATGAGCTTCTGAGGGCTCAGCCCCTTGAACCCCTGCCGGGCCAGGCCATGAGCCCAACGCCATTTTACGCTCTACCTAATCGTGAATAATCCACTTTGAAATTCGTTCCGCGGGGCCTGCAGGTAACGTGTAAGAGTGGTGGTGATGCAGATTTTTCTTCTGCCCCTACCCCTTCCAAACGTTTTTGCTCGTTACGTCACTGCCCCTGGAAGGTGAGCCCCCTGGAATGTTTGCCCCCCCCCCCCCATCCCAAACTGTTTCCGGCGCGCCTGCCCATGCCTAATGGATTCTTCCAATGCCCATCTCAAAGATGCATAATCCACAAACACATAACAAACACTTCCAATTTCAGAAGCACAGTGACTAACCAAGACTACCCCATAACCTCACACATCACATGCAAATCCAGTTGGGTGATATATCTCATCAACTGCACTCAATGCAACAAACAATATGTTGACAAAACAGAAACTACACTATACACACGCTTCAACAACACACGATCCTAAATAAAGAACTCCCATTTGGAAACACAACAAAAAAATACTACCATACACAGTACAATTCTACCTTCCATCCCACTCACTAGACAATGTTCAAATCACCGGAATCGAATTAATCCACAACAAATCACGCCACACAATCCTCCACAGAGAATCTTTTTGGATATCAAAAATGAAAACCCTACACCCAGATGGGATCAATGTTGATCAATAAGTCAATTAACACACCGACATATCAGACGCACGTAAACTTTTGATCACATGATCAAAAAACTGCCTCAACACAGATTTTCGATCTTAATTTTAATTTTATTTTTAGTCTTTGATTCTCACGTTTTATCCTTGCATTTGTTATACAATGTAGAGTCAACATACTGCAACCCATCGGACTGCGTACACTCCAATACATTTGAATGATGCCTTCTATCCTCCTCCCTCTCCCCTCCCTAGACACAGATCATGACACCGGCTGTGTCATAGATCAGTAACATCCGTGTCACATATCAGTACACGTTCACATATATCACATCAACTGAATAAACACATCGACAGCCCAACACGCAAGGTAAACACTTTGAAATTGCATGATCATTTCTAAGTTTATTTCGTAAGTATTTCTCGTACTAATGTTTGCAATGTTCATGATGCTTGACTATGATTGAGTGATATTAAGTTTGTATGCCATGTATATTTGTTCATACAATGTATTTGTTTTTGTATGTGTTTCCACTTCAGAACCTGAAGAAGGCCTCACAAGCCGAAAGCTCGTAAAAAATTGTAAAGTACAGCTACGTCTTACGTTCCGAGACCATTTTATTCACGCCTACATAATTTCTGGAACACCCGCTGTCATGTCAGAGTTGAGAATTCTCGCACTTATATATATATATAGTTTTATCATAACTTAATCACAATTATAATTAATAAATGACACATATTTATAAAGCTTAGATCCTCTTCTTTCATTTCATGGAACATCTTTCACGCATGAGTGATTAAAATCAATTTGAAGAGAGGGAACCGAAAAGTAATTTGGCGGACAGTATCTGAATTTCAGGGAGAAAATCCCATTTTTAGAAAGTTCAATTGCTGCCATTTCATATGACACTTCAATCAGCAAAAATGAACAAGGAATAACAAAGTTCTGTTTGTTTAAAATGATGCTTGCATTTCCATAATTGTATTAAACAAATTCGTTTTCACTGGCTGCCTGCCGTAGCAACAAACGATATTGGCAAAAAACTTAACTCCGTTTCGTTGACGATCAGCCATAGACGAAAGAGGGGTGATAGTATCCAAAGAGTATCCCTTAAGAGCGCACAGGGAGGTTCTATTATTATGTGATACGCTATTTACAAGAACGGAAAATTAATATTATAAGTATAAGAGGGACACAAACCTGTTTGACAGTAATCCCCTTTGAAGCCTTCGGGACAGAAGCACTGGAAACCTCCATCGATGTCTGAACACGTGCCTCCATTATGACAAGGGTTACTCAGGCACTCGTTGATATCTGGAAAGTAGCATCGTTCATTTAGAGAAAGTAATGAAAATATTGATATTCTTTCACCTCAAAATGGCTATAATATTGTTATTAGTTTTGGGGGATTTGGTGGAGAAAAGCAACAAATTTGCAAAATACCTCGTGGATTTTATAACTTTCATGAAGTGATAAAGATCAATTTTGTTTTAATTGCTTATTTCGTTTGTTAATGAATTAACTCTCGTGCTTTTTCGTCAGAAAACTTCCCTTTTAAAACTATTTCAACGTATTTCGAGGTTAAAAGAGTTTTCCATGTTTGTTTTTATAGATTAATGAATAAGTTTATTGATGTTTTAAAGTTAGAAAAAGATACATATCTCACCTTCAGTCCTTTCTACTGTTAGATTCACCAAGAATCCTCTTCCCATAAACGAACCGACCACTCTTCGTTTCCTTCTACTGGAGTCCCCAGTATCCGACACAAATCTAAACCACAATTTTCGATTGGGGGAAGTAATATCTTCAGGCAATTCACTTCCAGTCAACTCCACTAGGATTGTGGTTATTAAAGGACTCGATCCGTAGCCCACGGTAAGCGAAGAACCGTTGGTGAGGTTAAAGAAGTCGAAACGCGCCCTCACGCTGTAATCCTGAGGAGCCATTATCCGCCAAATCTCGTGCACGCTGTCGCTTGCATCAAAAGGAAAGTCTGGTGAGCGGAGCTGTTGGACCGTAGACTCGTTCACCAAGATTAGAGGATTGTCATCTGTTACAACAACAAAAAAGGATAACACTAAATGTGGCAGAAATACAGGCTTGTCTTTTTCCTACAAAAAAAGACATACGAGAATATATTAGGAAATTGTTTGTTTGTTGTGAAATAATTTTAAGATCATCTGATCATTCTGAAGATTCTTAAATCCCTAGAATTTCACCATGACACAAAGTTGGTTCTTATTACCTCTCGGATCCACAGCGTTCAGTGTTGCCATGAACCCAACGTCTGTACGTTCGTAATTACTGGAGAATTTTAGCCACATATGGCGGCTATGTGACGTCACAATCGACCTTAACCCATAGCCCGTGAGCCTCGCAAGCTCTGTGTAACTCAGTGGCGTCAGTCCATCGCCCACGAACAAGCAGTCGATGTTCGATTCGATAGCGAAGTCGACGATGCCCAGCCTGACGCTGTGGTTGACAGGGGCTGATACCTTCCAGACGATGTTATCACCGACGTTGTAGTTGGAAGGGTAATTTGGAGAAGTGATGTTCACTGGGACGGCACGCTCAAGGGTGATTTCAGTAACACCCGGTGTTATTGCTGAAAGAAATATAAATGTAACCAGAATACTTGTGATTTTTGTTTTAATCCAATGAATAACGCCAAAACATATGTTTGAGACCACAATTTCAAGACGGAAAATTTAACCTTGAAGTATAACTACTGTGAACTTATAATCTGAAGAATTCAGACTCCTATCGAAGGGCAAGTTGATTTACTAGCCAGAGGGCCACTTCACTTCACAACTGCTGCTCCCAAACTGTCAATACATTCAAAAATTATCTCAAAACTCTTCTTTGCTGTTAGCAATATACGGCACGCTCAAGGGTGATTTCAGTAACACCCTGTGATTTTGCTGAAAGAAATATAAATGTAACCAGAATACTTATGATTTGTTTTTAATGCAATAAATAACGCCAAAACATATTTTTGAGACCACAATTTCAAGACGGAAAATGTAACCTTGAAGTATGTCTAATGTGAACTTTAATCGGAATAATTCAGACTCCTATCGAAGGGCAGGTTGATTTGCTGGCCAGAGGGCCACCTCACTTCACAACTGCTGCTCCTAATCTGTCAATACATTCACAAATTATCTGAAAACTCTCTTTTTCTGTTAGCAATATAACTGTAAAGCGCATTCGAACATGTATATGAAAAATGCGTTATATACTAAATTAATGCTAAATATATTACTCATTGCGGATGTAGTATCGAAAATAATATCGCTAGTGATATTCGTTTGTCTCGCAATGTGGTCAATAAGGAATCTAAAAGATCACGACGTTTCGTGCGCTATCTGCCACAATTCGTTAGGTGATAAAAACTAATGTAAGCAAGGGTCTTTTATACTTTAAGGGAGGACCGGCGGAGCGGTCTATAATTCGATCGATAATTGGATAATTTCAACAGAGACAACGGGATCGATATCCCCGAATTTTGGATGCGGACGATACGCCGCCATGACACTCACCGTCCTGCCGGCCAACACCGGTCGATTCCATTCAGCAGACGGGCCGAGCCAGCGGCCCGTTGATTGGTTGAACACCGTATGCGTCGGCCAATAGGCCTGGTGCATTAGCCGAACCAGTGGCCGAACCAGAGGCCTGGTGATTGGTCGATCACCGTGTGCGTCGACCAATAGGCATTGTGCGTTATTGTTCCAATTATCGATCGAATTATAGACCGCTCCGCCGGTCCTCCCGTAAAGTATAAAAGACCCTTGCTTACATTAGTTTTTATCACCTGACGAAGTGTTGCAGATAGCGCACGAAACGTCGTGATCTTTTAGATTCCTTATTGACCACATTGCGAGACAAACGAATATCACTAGCGATATTATTTTCGATATAAATACATTATTAGTATTAGTATTATTGTTATTATTATTATTATTTGTATTATTAGTAGTAGTATTATTCACGGTCAAAGGGGCCAGCTGGTTGATCAAATACAATAATGGGAAACAGAAGGCTTCAGAAAGCTACAATTGGCCTGTCGCACATACATTCCTTGGTTTAACCTTTAGCCAAAGTCCTCTCCATACAATCCAAAAATATTTCGAAGAATCAACAATATCATGTAGAAAATCATTTGATTACGTATTAAGTCATTAAAAGGCAAGCACATTTCAGTAGGTGGTGGACAAGGCTTTTGAAATTGCGTGTAATGTTTTGTTTGTTGCAACGACCTTCGTCATTGCCTTGTTTTCGTTCACATTCTGCCCCATTAATTGCAACTATGGCTTGGCAGACCCATACCTTTTTTGGGGGGATTTAGATACTTGAAGATATGCCCTTTCCAGCCATATACAAAATTATATACCCTATCACTGGCCAAATTTGATAAAATTGCCCTCCAAATTCGCCATTTTCAAGAAAATTCTAAAATAACTTCAACACATATATCCATATACGTAACAGCTGTCTACTAAGTTTTTTAAATTTTAATGCCATCTTCGCAAAGTTATCGCCAAAAATGATGAATTTACTATGCATTACGTAATAGCACGTTTCATGCGTGCAATACATTGAACGCAGATGACAATGGTGTCAAACTGACCGCAATGACGTGCCCTTTTGGATGATACCAAGTATGGTATATGTTCACACAGGAAATTGTGAATAAATCGCATTTGAACGATGGTCAATATACCAATTCTGCCGAGTTTCCGCCCGATTATAGCACGTTTCGGCTATGACGCATTTTATTCAGACTGCTTTTGGCCCCCAGAACGTTCTTTATTGCAATAACGAACATGCACCAAATCCCATTGCTTTTTGCACGCAGTGCTTGGGAGCCCTTTCTAGGTTCTTTCCCCTATATCCCAATTTCTTTCAAACTTCGTAGGCGTAGTCTTCCTTCTTCTTCATGTCGTCCGGAATCCTATTCGTTTTGCACGTAGAGCTTGTTATTCCTAGTTAGGTGCTTTCCTCATGTCCCTTTCCTTTCAAATTTCATAGGCATATTACTGTTTTCACACTGGCAATATTTTGCTTAACCCCGTACTATAGGTGGTGGGGGTTAAGGGGGTCTTAGCCCCACCTATAGTACGGGGTTAAGCCTATTCCACTTTCTGTTCAGACTGACTTTTACCAAAGTGGGCTAAAGTTGGCTAACCCCACCTATAGTACGGGGTAAACTAACCCTGCAAAATAGCAGGGCTAACTCCGCAATTGTGGTGCTAACTCCTGCTAACCCCGCAATTGCGGTGCCAAGCAAATGAATGAGAACAGAAACGAAAAATAGTACGGTACTACGCAATGGAGCGTATCGCAGCTGGCCAGATGCGAAGTATGTCCAATCATAACATTCACGATATCCGGGGTTAACGAATAGCAGTGAGAACAGCGCGACTTTTACTATTCCGGATTAGGCGCTAGTACGGGATTAAAAACAGCGTGTGTGAAAAGCCAAAAAAATAGTCCGGGGTTAAGGATAGTACGGGGCTAAGCAAAGTACGGGGTTAAGCAAAACCAGTGTGAAAAGAGTAATAGTCTCTAACATCTCATCAAGTCACTACATTCTTCGATTTCCGAAATCACTCATGCATAACCGTCCAGGCGCCATTTTGTCCGTTTCTGGTCCATTTTAAGGTCTTTCTATCGTCCTTCCTATCTCCACTATCCTAGATCCTACAAGCTTCTAACAAATTTCTCTAGATAGTCTAAGATATGTTCTTTAATCTGCGACGCATAACCTGCCCTGTAAAATGCTATCTTTGTACTCAAAATTCAAATCTGAAACTGACTCCGTCAAAAATCTCTCAAATTCTTGAAAAATTGACCCCTAATTTATCTAAAACTGCCATAACTTTCTCATATAAATTCTGTTTTGTATTTACATCTCACAGTATCTTTATATCATGATTGCACATAGCCACGCCAAATTTCACGCTCCAATGACTTTGCAAAACATAAATAGCGCCCTCTAAAGTTCTGGGAATTGGCTTTATTTCTGTGGCCGTATCTCCATTATGGCTTGGCAGACCCGTACCCTTTTATGGATTTAGATACTTGAAGTTATGCCCTTTCCAGCCAAATGCAAAATTATATACCCTAGCTAACACTGACCGACTTTACGAAAAAAATGCCCTCCAAATATGCAGTTTTCAAGAAAATTGCGAAATAACTTCACCTTGCTCTAAAATTACGATCCTTAGACCTACGTCAATGAAACTTTGCAGATACATGTATCTGTCTGCCAAGTTTGGTAAATTTGAATAACGTCAGCGCAAAGTTATCGCCAAAATTGATGAATTTACTATGCATGACGTAATAGCGCGTTTAATGCGCGCAGATGACAATGGTGTCAAACTGACCGCAATGAAGTGCCTTTTCAAATGATACCAAGAATGGTACATGTTCACACAGAAAATTTTGAGTAAATCGCATTTGAACAAGGGTCGCTGTACGAATTCCGCCAAGTTTCCGCCCGATTATAACATGTATCGGCTATGACGTCATTTTTTTCAGACTGCTTTTCGCCCCCTAAATGTTCTCTGTTTTCCTTGAAATTTTGCAGTGACATTCCGAGTTGCAACACGCAGGACACCGCAAAGCCGGATTTTTAAATTGGTCAAGGGGGCCATTTAAGACGCCATTTTGTCCTATAAATCTATTTTACTTCATGTGTTTCGATAGGATTATCATAGAAAAAAGGGAGAGTGGTTTACTATAACAACCATGAAATTCTCTTTCCAATGATACCAAATACGGCCCATAAAGAGACATAAAGAGAGAGAGAAAAAAAATTATTCAAGTCCGGTCATAATAAAGATCCTTTACGTTTTCCGCCAATGAATTACACGCATTGTCTATAGGGCAAATCGGGTTCACGCTTTTGGCCCCCAGAAGGATCTTTATTTTTCTTGAAATTTTACAAGCACATTCAAAGTGGCCAAGTGCAGAGCATCTCGAAGCCGGATTTTTTTAAATCGGTCAAGCATGACATTAAATGCTATCTCATACTCTGCGTAACAAGTCCGAAAGATGCTCTTTCGTTTGACACGTAGAAACATGGCGTCATTGCACGTATATCGTTCTGACACGATTGCATTTTTAGTTTCATGTTGTTGTTGTTGTTCTTGTTGAAAGTCTTCCCATCATATTTTCCCTGCACAAGGGTACTCACCTCCTGAAACCACAGCTGTAATAAATGACTGGAACTGTGAGATTCGGGTGTAGACGCCGGGCGAGAGTGATTTTGCGCATTCTCCTCCAAAGATTGTTGTTCCGACTAGATGCCACCGACCATCATCACCCTCACAGGTCAAAGGCCCGCCGCTGTCTCCCTGATTTTTGTAATAATAAACACGAGACAGTGAATTTAATTGGATTACTTGCAAACTAAATCAAATATGCTACGTAGGACCACACACATATGCAATTTTCGAAAAATTACATATATTTGAAACCTGGAAGTTTGATATTTTAAAGGGGTAGTTAAAGTGTGCCCAACTTCTGAAACTAGGACAAAAACGTTAAAAAATTGAAAATCACTGAGTGAAAAAGAACACCATTGCAGTCAGTGTCACAGTAATGATGGAAACGGGAGTACAGCCCAAATAATCGTTCTAATGAAAATAAAATATGATGGGAGAGTAGAAAAGCAACTTGGGTAAAAGGTAATGACTCAATCCTATGCACTTATCTCCTTTCATGCTGTCGTAGTAAAGAGGTTTGAGCGCTATACTGGAAATTCAAAGGTCATGGGTTTGGCTCCCGGCACGGCACTGATGTCCTTTGACAAGGCCTTAAAGGAGCTACACAAAGAACATTCACTAACAACTCGTAATTAGAACAAATGACATATGGATGGAAAGATTTTCTCTTGAAAAACACGAACAATTTGCTGAGAAATCATATAGATATCATGGAAAGGCGTAAAATGCAATTTTTCAAGACCCTCCTTAGACCCCCGAACGCCCCTGCAACGTAAGTCAAAAACACACAAGCGTAGCGAGCTCTGAATTGTGACGTCACACAGGACGAACAGCTCAGTGCCGTGTAGCAGTATGCAGCTAGCCAGCCGTGTCCCGTATGTGACGTCACAAATATTGACACTCTACAAAGAACCGCTGAAGGCAGAAAATCTGGATCTCCAAACTAACATTTTTTGAGAGTTGATTACTGCGGGCCCCAAACATATTTTGAAGAGAAGAGTTGTTGTATTTGATCGGCAAGGCTTCCCCTTCGCAATGATATGAGTTTTGCATCAATTCAAAACACTTTTGATTCTTCGTGTGGCTACTTTAATCTACATTTGCCACTCCATACCCAGGATTGAATGGAGACACTGTAGGAGCACGGATCCTGTGTGATAGTTATTGCGTTATGCCCTCACGGTGACCATGTGGTAGGAATACTCACCAGAGAGTGGAGATGCTGCACATTTTGCGTATAGATGAATCCGGTGTCCGGGATAACAATATCTTTAAAGCGCTTAGACACGGTATTTTGTCTTAAACACTATACATGTATAAATCTAGATCTTTTATTATTATTAGTAGTAGTAGTATTAGAAGTGTACGTAGTAGCAGTAGTTGTAGTAGTAGAAGCAGTAGTACATGTAGTAGTAGTAGTAGTAGTAGTAATAGTAGTAGTAGAAGTAGTAGTAGTAGTAGTAGTAGTAGTAGTAGCATTCTCTTTAATTCAAACCTCATAACAGTTGCCTATTGTGTCCGATACCGCCGCCCCATGACACCTGTGCCCCCCCCCCCAAACATGGATAAACTCAGGCAACGCCATAGATATCACTTACCTTACAAGCATCAATTCCACCTGGCGCATATCCAGCACATATCATTTCTTCTGCCACAGCCCCGTCGTAGGAAAGATTAGAATTGCACCAGTTTCGATCAAGAAGGTTCACCACTGCTTTTTTCATGCTCACCGTCAACGCTGCGAAAGATTAAGGAAAATCATCGTTTACATCTTCTGTAAGCAAACGAATTTCAAGTCAAATTATCATGAAATGTTTGAAACCATTTAAAGAGTTATGGAAAGGTAGAGTGGTTTCAACACTGCTACATAGCTTGATTTTTCATTTTTAACCATCCAATAAATACAATATTTAATGATATTTGGGTGAATAGGGGTATCAAGTTAGGTGGTTAGGTAGATCTACGTGAAGAAGAACTACTGAAGGGCATCTTCAAAGCTTCCCTATTTGAAAGAGGCCTTGTGGATATCACATTCCTTTCAATCAGATAACCTAGAGAATTGATTGGCTTACCCCTGTAGGAATTGAGAAACCTATATCAGCAACTAAGTAGTGAAGCACAGTAGTGTTGTTGATTCAATTTCAATTCAATTCAATTCAATTCAATGGTTTCATTCATTGTAAGTTAACAAAAATATATATATATATATATTCACAAATAAATACATAAACATACATCATGATTTAACCTGGGTATACGAATAAATACCTTAGACTTAAAAAGAATGAAAAGAATGAATTCATTTTCAATAATGGTTTATTATGTAATTTCAAAATACATGCATCATAATTGTCATTTTACATGAAAAGCAGCAGAAGCTGAATTATTCATGTTTACATGTTGACATAATAAAGTGATAAATCGCATTTTTAAATATTGACACGTTTAAAAGATTGTTAAAATAGATTCAAAATAACATTACACGTTAAGAATGACAAAATAAAGATTTATGCTCTCGTTTAGAATGAATACATTGGATTTTAAGACTAAAGACGACTGAGGTGAAGACTATTACTGTGTTTGAAATTAAACATGTAGTTAAAAAAGCGTTTAATTATGGTTAATTAGATTGAACAAATATGGTAAAGGGCTGTTCTTGAAGGGATTGGTTTTGCATTTGAAATTATGATATGTAGGAACCTGACGTAATGATATTATAATTTTTTTTTTTTTTAAGGTAGCCAGTTCTGGCATGCTGGGTGAATTGCTAAAGATTTTGTAAATTTTCTACAAAGTACTAGTCTTCTTTCCTCAAGTGTACTTAAATTGCATACTTGACATGCATGTGAATATGACATAAATTTAGAGCCTTAAGTAATTTTGCAACCCTCCGTTGCATTCGTTCGAGACTGTTTTTCTGTTCAGATGTAAGACCACTATGAAACACTGGGGCGCAATATTCTAATACTGGTCGTATATAGCCTGTGTAGATTAATACTAAATCCTTTAAAGGTAAATTAATTTTTTTAAGTTTCCTCAATATATAAGTTTTTCGATAACATCTTTTCATTAGCTTATCAATATACAAATTCCACTTTAGATCAGACTGGATGATCACTCCAAGAATTTTAGCACTATGCCTATTACACAACTCGGTCTGGTGGATTTTTCATGAAACTAACTTGGAGGGTAAAACACTTTGAAGGATTTAGTGACATATTATTCACAATAGACCAAGATTGCACAGAAATAAGTACTGATTGTAATTGTGAGACATCTGTAGATTTCCGATATTGTACTAACGAGAGGTCGTCGACATATTTAAAATACGGTATATAAAGTTGCTCACATAAATCGGTCACCATAATGAAAAAGAGAATTGGCCCAAGACGTGTACCATGGGGAACACCTGCATGATTGATTTCAACATTTGATAAAACACCGTTATATTTTATATTTTGTTTACGAAATTCTAAAAAACTGGCAATCCAATCTATTATCCAAGGCCTTATATCCATATGAATCATTTTTCTAATAAGAATATTGTGATCTATGCGATCAAATGCTTTACTAAAATCTGTACAAATAACAGTTGACAGAGATTTACTGTTTTCTGCATTTTTATATGGACTATGTAAAAGACCAACAATATAATGTGTAGTAGACAGACCAGGTCTATTGCCAAATTGGTGAGTGTCAATTTGTTTATCAATATCTTCTAATAACCATTTTTCTATAAAGGATTCTGCTACTTTGGAAATATGAAGTCAATGCAATTGGGCGAAGATCATTAATATGAGGAGGTTGGGATTTTGGAATCGGACATATTTCTGCAGTTTTCCATTGGGTTGGAACTTTTCCTTGTCTAAAAGATTGGTTTAGAATCTTCGTAAATGGTACACTCAATTCACATGCAAATTCCCGTATAATTCGTACTGGTATATCATTACTAACAGATGTTTTTTTTCAATTGTAATTTACGTAATTTACAATACACTTCCCAGTAACTGATTTCTGGGCTATTGCACTTTGAAGGTAAAAAACATGGTAAAGTCTCCCTATCTAAGGGAGAAAGATCAGAGGCAATAGACTCAAACAAATTACCAATTGCATTAGCAGCTTTTTTATAGCATTGAGGTTTTTGTGATTCAATACCAAGAATAGTAATTGGAATGGGGTTACATTTACCGTTTGTAAGTATTTTAAAATGTTTGTACCAAGCTGACGGATTATTCAACTTTTCTCTTTTTATACGAGAATTGTAATAATTCTTTTTAGCAACAGATATAGCTTCAGCAACTTTATTGCGTAAATGTTTCCAAAGATAATTATTTCCTTTCTTAGAATATGGGAAAACTTAAAAGAAAATTCCTAGGTCCTTGTATTAGGCTAGCCCTCCACGAGCATAATTTTCACAAGCTGAATAAATATGAAGGCAAAGAAGATCAAAATAATTAAACATATCAGAATCAACTTGCATACAGGATATCAGTTTAAAACAAAAAAACATACACATCATGTTTGAAAAGAGTGGCCGACAGTTTGAATCTCTTCCCGCTGCTCATATTCTTAGACGAAGTATTTTATTTTCAGTCGCCTCGATCTCTTGGCCCAGGCGTAGTGAATGGGTACTGGTGTAATGGAGTAATATATACTCTGACATGCACTCAGGGGCGTCGCTAGACCTTTTTCAGAGGGGGGGGGGGGGTGTAGAGGCCAACAATTACCGACAAAACTAGCCACCTATTACCGACAAAATTAAATGTCCAATATCTATAAATTCAACCCTATAAACCTGGGGCCGAAGGCTAAATTGTTTTTCCTATGGACTATCTATAGTACTTGCACATGCGCAAAATGGTCATTTTCCTCGACGACATAAATATACGAATTATTTCTTCAATATAGTCAGCATCATAGCTACATGTATATATTTTAATGCAGGCGCGGAGCTAGGATCTTATTTTAGGGAGGGGAGGTAGTGGGCAAGAGAATCACTTAAAAGCACGCTCATTAGGGGGGTGTGGGTGATGGGCCTCCCGCCCGAAGCGCGGAAGCTTAGACGTTTCCTTAAATTATTATGAAAAGAAGACGATTAATTGTACCGTTTTCGACTGTTAATCCTTGGCTGAATTAAGTTTCCTCCCCCCCCCCCCCTCCCGCGCGGAGCGCGAAAGCTATGACGTTTCATTAAATTATTACTAAAAAAAGACGATTTGCTGTACCGTTCTCGACTGTTTATCCTTGTCTGAATTCAGTTCCCCCCCCCCTCCCGCGCAAAGCGAGGAAGCTTTGACGTTTCATTAAATTATGAGAAAAAGCAGACGATTCGGTGTACTGTTCTTGACTCTTAATCCTTATCTATATGGAGCTTCCCCCTCCCGCGCGAAGCGCGGAAGTTTTATTAAGTTTCATTAAATTATTAGAGAAAGAAGACGATTCGTCGTACCGTTTTCGACTCTTAAAGAGAAGGTTGAGTTCTGAGAAGAGGTGAACAATAATTTGTGAGCGTTATCATTCTTATTATGCAAGTAAGGAAGAACATCAGGTAAGACCTGTTCCCTGAAAAGCATGGCTCCTCAAATGCCTTCATATGTCATGTAACATCGTAAAACTCGGGGCGTAGGTTTTTTACGCCACGTGTTCGTGTAGTCTCATATACATCTTTTTGTATACAGTGTTTGTAACTTTACCAAGACTTGACCAAATTTCTTATTATTTTGATGATTCCAAAACCTTGCAATACACACAAATTCTTAAGCCCCAGTCCCATATAAAGCCGGACCAGCACGGACGAGCACGGACCACTCCGGACCATCCCGGACCATGGTCTGGGGTGATCCGGGATGGTCCGGGATGTTTTGTTCAAAAAATCGCAACCGCCGACCGTCTCCCCGGACCCAACACGGTACCACTACGGACCGCCCCGGACGTCCGGGCATAGCCCCGGCAGCAGTACAGATCATTCCAGACCCAGCACGGAGCCGCCACGGACCGTCCCGGACCACCCCGGTGCCAACACGGTGCCAACACGGATGACACCGGACCATCCCGGTGCCAACACGAATCATCCCGGAACGCCCCGGATGGGGTCCGGGATGGTCCGGGATCATCCGTAGGGGCGCCGGGGTGATCCGGGGTCAATAACTCATCCCCGGACTGCCACGGATCAACACGGACCGCCCCGGCGCCACTACGGATGACCCCGGACCCAGCACGGTGGCTACACGGATCACCCCGGATCAAACTATTGTCCCGGACCGTCCCGGACCACCCCGGCAGTTTTTGACCGTCAAAAACATCCGGGGTCGACTCCCGGACCGCCCAGGACCATCCAGGACCATCCAGGACCATCCAGGACCACCCCGGTGCCAACACGGTGTCAACACGGACCGAATCCCGGATCACCCCGGATGGGGTCCGGGATGGTCCGGGACGGTCCGGGACGTATATGGGACTGTAGCTTTATATGCTAGATGATCAACCTTTTCTGGTCGATTCCACACCGTTTCTTTCACAATGCAATCGCATGACCAGAACTCAACTTCATCTTTAATAATAAGCCCTATTCATCTGAATTCAGTTTCCCCCTCTCGCGCGAAGCGCGAAAGCTTTGACGTTTCTTCATATTATTAGAGAAACAACACGATTCGTTGTATCGTTTGCGACTCGAAATGAGCCCTATTAAAATTTGTCTGAATTTGGTTTTCCCCTCTCGCGCGAAGCGCGGAAGCTTTGACGTTTCCTTAAATTATTAGAGCAAGAAGACGATTCGTCGTTGTACCGTTCTCGACTCGTCTAAATGAAATTTCCCCCTTCCGCGCGAAGCGCGGAATTTTTGGCATTTCATTACAATATAGAGAAAGGAAGACGATTCATCGTACCGTTTTCGACTCTTATTAAGCCCTATTCATCTGAATTCAGTTTCCCCCTCTCACACGAAGCGCGAAAGCTTTGACGTTTCCTCAAATTATTAGAGAAAGAACACGATTCGTTGTACCGTTTTCGACTCTAAATAAGTCCTATTAATTTTGTCTGAATTCAGTTTCCCCCCTCGCGCGAAGCGCGGAAGCTTTGACGTTTCCTTTTATTATTAGAGAAGGAAGACGGTTCGTTGTACCGTTCTCGACTCGTCTAAATGAAGTTTCCCCTTCCGCGCGAAACGGGGAATTTTTGGCGTTTCATCACAATATAGAGAAAGGGAGACGATTCGTCGTGCCGTTGTTGACTCTTAATCCTTGTTTGAATTAGTTTCCCCGAAAATTGTAAACCTCTGATTTCTTTAGCTGATATTATAGGAAAGTGAAACTTCGAGAAAATACAAGTATTGTAGTTGTAGTCACTCTCGAAGTCGTCACAGTGGATCAGAAGTCACAGTTCGTAGGGTGAGATGTATATTGTCGGTCGACCGACAATAATCATCTCTGCATTGATATAGTACACGAGGATCGAGCAAGAATACCGACAAAGCTGACCCGACACAGCAACATATTTACCCGTGTCTTTCTTGCTCCCTCGACGAGACGACTCCACCCAACAACCCCCTTCTCTCTTTTACTCCCACTCCTCATCTCTCAGACTCTTACCCCCCCCCCCCCTCTCTCTCTCTCTCTTCTCTCTTTCATCCCCCGTTTCTATTGTTTCCATTTCACTCTTTTTTCTTCTCTTTATCTTTTCTTTCTTTTCCTTTCTTTCCTCTCCTCCCTCTTTTTCTTTTTTCTCTTTCTTTCTTCACTTTTCTTTCCTTTCTTTTCCTTTCTTTCTTTCTTCACTTTTCTTTCCTTTTTTTTCCTCTCTTTTTTCTCTCTCTTTTTTCCCCTCTTTTTTTCCCCTCTCTTTTTTTCCCTCCCCCTTTTCTCTTTTTCCCGACGGCAGCGCAATTTTACCGACAATATCCTGATAGGTGGAGGGGTGTCGCACCCCCCCCTTACACACCCCCTCCCCCCCCCCCTGCACTGTAAGTTGATACCGGCACCCGTATGAAACTGAAAAAATCGTATTGCATTTAAGGACACACACTTCGTTTCATTCGAGAAATTCGCTTTACAAAATGGGCAATGTTCTTTCCTTATCATTATTATTATCATTATCAAACCCTCATCTGTTTCTGTCTTCAAAGTTTTGTTGAAGATGCACTTGTTTTCAGAATTGAAATGTTTATTCATTATCGTTTGTCTGTATAGTAGCACTTTTAGGAGTTTTGATTTATTACAGAGCAGTAGAGTGGCTGTGCTATATAAATTAATCTAATTATTATCATCATTATCAAATATAAGTAAAACAGTACATACGTGGGCCTTCCAGTGTAGTTCCCCATCCAGCGACGAGGCAGCGACGATAGTCCTTGAGTTCATTCGAGGATTCCGACAGACACGCGGGTGTAACGTAGTCACTGAATGTCACCGGTTCAGCAAGTCGTATCAGAGCGATGTCGTTGATGAGCGTAGAGATGTAGTACTCGGGATGGACAAAAATATCAGCCACCTCAACCGCTACCTCGTTGTCGGAGTCATCCGTCAAATGTGCGTTCCCAAAAACTACACGATCGACGTAGTAATCACTATAAGTGATAGTGGATGTAAAATCAGTGATTTTTACAAGGGCGAAATTTAATCATGTATATCAAAAGGACATCTCAATGGAGCTGCATTTATTTGAGCATGATATATATTAAATATTAACTGTAGTTTCATACATGAACATCAAGATTTCATTATATATTCCAAACGTTGTATTTGCTATGTCTCTCAGGGGTTTCATGAATTAACTAGCTCCTAATACATCGGACGTTATACGGTCTTGTAAATGTAAGTCTCTAAATTAAACATAATTCTGTTACGACATTGAAATGAAAACCCGAAATCTGACAGTTATCCCCTCGCCGACGAAGTCGGAGGGGATATAGTAACGCTGCTGTCCGTCCTTCCATCCTTCCGTAACAAATCTGGTTTCCGATCGATAACATTAGTAATTTTTGACGTATTTTAATGAAATTTGATATGAAGGTACATAATATTAAAACATAGCCTAAGAGTTCGATTACGGAGTATGTAAGTCAAAGGTCATAGCTCATTGAATATGCGAATCTTGTTTCCTTTCGATAACTTTGGTGATGGCCCGGTCACACACATAGACAACGCACGGCCGGTGCATTGAAAATCGGAAAACAAGTTGTGAGCCCGACTTTTGTCACGATTTGGGAGAAGCTAACAAGCTGACACCGAATGCGTAGCGTTTTGCTAGCGCACTGCGCGTATACAGGGCATGTGCTCCGCGTATTTCACGAAGTGACGGTAGTGAATGATAATCCCATACAATTTGCGTGCGGATTTTCCTCACTACCGTCACTTTGTGAAAACAGGAACGGTATGTCTGGCGTTGGTCTAGCGCGCTCCGTGCATGTCTGGCGTCTTTTGGCGTGTACATTCATGCATCGAGCTCCGCGCACACTTTTGAGCATGCTCAAAAATTCCCGACGCACACAGCAAATGACGACGAATGCATAGCGTTGGTCCAGCGTTGGTCCAGCGCGCTCGACGAACGAGTAACGAATGATGACATAAAACTAGCGAACGACAACGCACTGGCCAAAATTTCTAATTTCCAATGCGCTGGCCGTGCGTCCCCCAAGCGTCCCGTATGTGTGACCGGCCCTAATGTTTGACGGATTTTATCAAATTTGACGTGAATGTTCATGGTACCAAAACACAGCCGAAGAGTTCGATTTCGCAGTATGTAAGTCAAAGGTCATAGCTCATCAAATATGCGAATCAGGTTTCTGTTCGATAACTTTAGTAATGTTTGACGGATTTTAATCAAATTCGATATTCAATTAAATTCAATTTATTTATTCTTCTTCTTTCAATTTTTCATATTAACAATGATGGTACATTTTTACATATCCACATATTAATATACATATACATTTAGATCAATTTGCACAATGCAATACATTTATATTTTAAAAAAACATGAAATTGAAAGGGAAGGAAGGCCGACTAAAAAGCAGAGCTAGGCCTATATGACGGTAGGTGGTATCACAATACGGACTAAGATCGTTTTGGGAGTATGTAGGTCAAAGGTTATAATACTTTAAATATGCGAAAATACCTAATTATGTATGCGAAAATGTGGTTAACATCCTTGCCTAGTAATATAATAGTATAGTCTAATGGCGGTAACTTGTTCTGACGTATTAGGCCATTTATACCCTGCGAGGGAATATGCTACGCTTTAGCGTTGACTTGTTACATTTATTTCATACATACATACAATTGATTCTCATATAGCGCAAAGTTCAATAAAATATTGCTTAATGCCTTTTACATATTGTAATCGGATATATCCATTTAAAAGAACGGATATATAATTGGTTGTACAGATATTGACTACTAGCGATACTTTATATATATATATATATATATATATATATATATATATATATATTCATGAATATGATTATTTAGACGAAAACTCAGTGCATAATTTGTTTAGTTATAGTACATGCAATCTAGAGGTAAACACGTTCGCTACCATATAAATTGGTCTAAGTAAATATCCCTGTGAAGGTAAGGTGTCAATTTGCTTTCATTTCCAAAGAGCATACGAGTCTGATTAGTGGCATCATACTTACACGCAGTGAGCTGCGGTAAGAACCCATTGAGAGTTGATCAGGGTAGACCCACACCAATGTCCTCCAAATCCAAAATCCAATCCTTCGAGGCGGAGTGAACCAATCCAAGGGAATTCCACGGGGCGTGCGTTGATACCACCAACAACCCTGGATTGGTCGGGGGCGTATGCAGGGCGTGTCCCGCATATGTTGGTATCCAAAAGATCTGGGGGAGGGATAAAGTCGCAAGTCAGTGGCACGACGGGAAGGGAAAGGTCATCCACCCAATTTGAAGAGCACCCCTTTGCCTCCCCCCCCCCCCCAAAGCAAATGAAACAAAACAAAGCATAAATCGAAAATAAAATGAAAAGAGGAGGGAAAAGGATGCCCGAAGAAGATGATAAACCACCTTTGAATACGCTCGAATCCACCTCCTTTTTGGATACTGATTTTCATTTTTCTCTAAAAACCCACTTGGCAGTAAGATGAGCGCCGCCATCCCCATCTCATTAGTTGCACGCCACTGCCACATGTGATGAATTCAATAGAACATGCTGACATCTTTTCTTCGGTTTTATGAACTATCATTTATAAACACTTAGTGCATCTTATTAAGTCCAAGCATATTCTTAACTCAATATCATCTACATGAATATGGCTGCATGGTCTTTACCTCCCGCAGGGCCAAAACAGCTCCCATCTTCCTCCTGTTCATCGGTAAACATGGAACAGTTGACGGGCCAAGGGCGGTCGAGGAGTTGCTCAAAGGATGCCTTGCAGGCATCAGTGACTGCTAAACAGTCGGAGTAGCACACCCGATGGGTGGGGCCGTTATGGGTGCATTCCGGATAGTATACGGTGCACATGAAAGGGAACAGGTGATCATGGCACGATGATATAGTATCTGCCTATGGTAGGTCATTAGAAAGTATAAACTTTGAGGATTTCACGTCAGGATTTTAAAAGGAGGCAATTGCAACGTAGACGTGTATGGTACATCAACAACGTCAGTATAGCCAGCAGCTCTTGCAAGTGGTAGGGTGGGGGGGGGGGACCACGTGCCGACAAATATAACATAAATAATGTATTTTCAGACAAACAATAAATATTACATCAAAACAGATCTCCAACATATTTTCAGTCGTTACGTCTCTGAAAAATACATCCTTCCGTGTGATTATCCTTACTACCATGCAAATCCCCTCGCAAAGAATCACTTTTACAAAAAAGAATTATTGAATGCGTATAAACAAATACCAAATTCATTGGTTGATATACAGGTCAATAATCGTAGTAAGACAATGTTCTACTAAGGTTAACACTAATTAATTAATCGTTCCTGGCATTATCTATGAAAATCACCAATAATCTGGACAAACCGATCAGTAATAAAGAATCAACTCAACATTCATTTATAAAGCAATTAAAAAGACATTCCGCTGCTTTACCATGTCTTTAAAGCCTCCCGCTGCAGCGTCTGCTGTCTCTGCGTTCCGATTCGGGAAAAAAGTCAAATTGTAGGCCAGGCTCTGTCTACATATATCTAAATGAACTTGTTCGCAGTACGCTGGGTAGTAGAAAAATCGATCAATGAAGGGTCAAAAACAGCGATAACATGTCAGAGAAATCAGGAAAGCAGACAACATATATGACACATTAACAGCAACAAAAAGGGCAATCAAAATAATTCAACCGCTGAAGGTCCTGAAAGGCTTAATGTGTTTGGGGAACTGGTAAACAAAAACTCAGGGGAAAAAAACCTCTCTTTAAAGTAAAAATCCAGAAGTATAGAAACTCCCTCAATATAATCATAGAGATAGATAGGTGTGTAATACAATTGAAGGAAATGTAAATTTTATGTAACATTTATAACGATAGAAATTAATTGAGAAGCGAATGTAAACGTCAATAAAAACTTACGACAGTATTCCTCATCTGAGAAATCGAGACAGTCGTTATTTCCGTCACACCTTGCCGATTCGCTGATACACAGTCCACTCGAACATTGCATTTGACCGCTGCTGCATTCTGTCATGAAGTATTTAAAGCATCGAATTATAGATAGTCTCAATTTTAGTAAACAATACGTTATCGTGTACTTTAACTGATATATTTTGAAAAGCAATATAAGGTCTGGGCCCCGTCTTATAAAGAGTTGATATTAATCGCAACTTAGACGCGATTGATATCAATCGCAAGAATGTACATAAGAGATAGGAGACTCCAAACTTGCGATTGATGCGGATCAATCCCAACTCTTTATAAGACGGAGCCCTTATGGAATATTTTAAGTATAATTGAAATAATCACTCTGGACAATAAATCAAATATTATGAGGCACGACCTCACTTTGATACAACATGCAGTTTTCGTCAGATGTCTTAGGAATATACGTTTAAGCATAACTGGCAAACAAATTATCGTAGGCCTACCTATCTTTAACAACCTCTGTCAGCAGTAGGTAAAATATCATATGATTGACTTTTTGTGAGTGAGGGAAGTAAAATGTTGATGCGTTAATAATCAGTGATATGGTATTATGTATCCACTTACAGCAGTGGAGAATTTTCTTTCTTTTTGACTTTTTAAAATGATGATGAGCCGAATTAAATCGTCTTGCGTGCCCCGTGTGGCCCATGGGATGCTAATATGAAACATAACTAAAAAATAATAAGCAGAGTAATAGCTACATTTATATTGCACACACATTCATCCGAGAGGAAGCTCAAGGCGCCTACAAAGTAATATTATTACCCTGGCTTTAGCCCAGTTGCCCTAAGGCGTTAAAAGGATTCAAGGAATAAATTCCTACCGGGTTGCCATTTACTATATCTGGAAGGATATTAACAAAGGTAGATTAATGTCTTGCCAAAGGAAATTAGTGCCTCGGCGGGACTTGAAACGCAAACCATATAATCCACAGTCCGCTGACGTATCCACAAGACCACGACACCTCTTAAGACGCAGAGCCTATGGCTAATATGATCTTACCAGGGTTTAGTATAGCTGTGGCACGAAGACTGAAGCCAATATCACCCCTTGAGACATCCGTGGTAAACCTGACCCACATAGAGTGACCGGGTGTAGCGAGTGCACTGGAATAGTTATACCCGGTCAGTTTCTGAAGCACCCAAGAACCAGGTTCATTGGGACCAGGCCCAGAACCAATGTACAAGTAATCGTAGTCCGTCTCTAGGGCCAGGTGTAGGATCTGTATCTGGAGGATGTGACCCTCTGGAGCCGTGAGTACCCAAGTAAGGTCGAGGTTCGAGTCGTAGTAGGATGGATAGCCGGGTGAAGATATGACAGTGATTTCGTTCCATTCACTTTCTATCACAGAGATGCTGGTATCTGTGCAATGAATTCATAATAATAATAATCATAATAATAATAATTATAATAACAATGAAAATAATAAAATACAAATGACATGATAATAAAAGTGATTTTTAAAAAAAGTAGTAAAAACTTTTAACCAAGGAAGCCAAGGCATTAACGATGTTCTTCCTGAGAGCCCTGCAATTATTCTTGAAGAAACAAGTTCAGACAAGGTTGTATGACACATGCTCTTGTCCCAACTGCTCCTTGGTAATTTCATTCACTAACCGAGTTCCTTATTTTAACCCTAGAGCAATCACTGTACCTATTAAACCCTGACCCAACACCTCAACGCTTTAGGAAAGAAGCTGATACATTAAGCGTTACGTTAACCTTGGCATAACAAGTCATATGATACCATATTGAATTTCACAGTTCATATAGGGAGCCAGGCGCGTACGCAGGGGGGGGGGGGGTTGCCCCCCCCCCCTTTGGGTTTTTTATTATTATTTTTTAAATAAAAAATTGTGGTAATGGGTGACCCAAAAAAAAAATGAGCTCTTACCCCCCCCCCCCCCCCCCCCCCCCTTCCCCCGCTTATTCAAGCGGCTGGCTGAGTCGTTGCGAAATTTTCGGGACCAAAGAAAAATGTCCTCTTACCCCCACCTGGCTGAGTCGTTGCGGAATTTTCAAATTTTAAACTCCCCCTCCCTCGAAAAAATCCTGCGTCCGCGCCTGTAGGGAGCTAGCATAGATTTTCATTCTGTTATATTCGGTGATCAAAGCAGAGAACACCCCCGCTCCCACCCCCCCCCCCCCCCCCCCCCAAAAAAAAACGAAAAAAAAAAAAATCTGTCGAAATTTAGTACTATCATGCTTACATAATGCATGGAATATGCAAACGTACTTACCTAAGATAGTCTCGCAATACAATCCAGTGAAACCATTGGGGCATCGGCAAGTAAAAGTGTTTATTCCATCTTCGCAGGAGGCATTGTTTTGGCACGGATTGCTCTGACACTCATTCTCCTCTGCAGAAAAGACCGGGAGAAGAGATTGATTAAAAACACGATCACATGAGTTGATTTCAAGAATTAAGTATTTGCGTTTTAACAAACGTACTTACCTAAGATAGTCTCGCAATACAATCCAGTGAAACCATTGGGGCATCGGCAAGTAAAAGTGTTTATTCCATCTTCGCAGGAGGCATTGTTTTGGCACGGATTGCTCTGACACTCATTCTCCTCTGCAGAAAAGACCGGGAGAAGAGATTGATTAAAAACACGATCACATGAGTTGATTTCAAGAATTTAGTATTTACGTTTTAACAAGAAAGTCTTTGTGTTTAGCAAGAAATAAAACAAAAACCAACAACTAGACCTATAAAACTACCTATAGAATTTTTCAGTTTATCTTTATAGTATGACTATCTTATTCCTAGATGGGTCTTTATTATCCTCTTTTACACCAGAATTCTCGACATGCCCTGAACTCATAAATAATTTAATAGTGTACGAATTAAGCATACACATCTTACAAAAAATCGTATAGTGCTCCTGCCAAAAAATGTTGGTCTCAATTTTGAAATAGGTAATTCTGCAAATTATTTATATATATATATATATATATATATATATATATGGGAGTGAATAAAATGGTCTAGGAACGTGAGACGTAGCTGTATTTTACGATTTTATTACGAGTTTTCGGCTTGTGATGCCTTCTTCAGTACAGCTACGTCTCACGTTCCTAGACCTTTTACTTCACGCCTACATATTCCGGACCACCCGTTGTCATGTCAGAGTTGAGAATTCTCGCACTTTTATAAATATATATATATTGATTTTGTTTGCAGTGGAAAATGTGATTATTCGCCTGTATTTCATTAAAAAGAATCAGAAACTTAAATTTTGTATGAATCATAAGTACACGTGTAATGTCCTTTAACAATGGTATTCAGGGAAAAATTATGAGAGCCCGGAATAGCATAGGTGTTGTTTTGTACTACAATCACCCACCCTGGCAAACTCATGGAAACGGTACATAGACGACATCTTTTTTTTTTTGGACAGGCTCACCCAGAACATTATCCAAACTGCAAGAAAAAATGAACAATATACACCTATCAAATTCACATTCGAATCATCTAATGACAGGACTCACTTTCTCGACGTTTCACTCCAACAATCCAATAACCAAATAGAGACAGAACTATACATCAAACCTAAGGACTCACACACATACCTCCTGCCATCCTCCTGCCACCCTAGCCACTCCCTCAAAAGCATACCACACAGCCAAACACTACGAATTCGAAGAATATGCTCAAAACCTGATCGTGAAGATCACCACCTCAAACAGCTACAACAGAACTTTGAAGACCGAAATTACCGACCAGACATGGTTAGACAACAAATAGAAAGAGCTAAAGAAAAACCCAGAGAGGAACTACTTGAATACAAATCACGCTCTGAAAAACACAAGGACATAAAGAACTTCCATTCGCAACACAACAAAAAAAATACTACCATACACAGTACACTTCAACCTTTCATCTAGATCACTAGACAATGTTCAAATCACCGGAATCGAATTAATCCACAACAAATCACGCCACACAATCCTCCACGGAGAATCTTTTTGGATATGAAAACTTAAAACCCTACACCCAGATGGGATCAATGTTGATCAATAAGTCAATTAACACACCGACATATCAGACGCACGTAAACTTTTGATCACACGATCAAAAAAACTGCCTCAACACAGATTTTCGATCTTAATTTTAATTTTATTTTAAGTCTTTGATTCTCACGTTTTATCCTTGCAATCGTTATACAATGTAGAGTCAATATACCGCAACCAATCGGACTGCGTACACACCAATGCATTTGAATGATGCCTTCTATCCTCCTCCCTTCCCCCCCCCCCCCCTAGACACAGGTCATGACACCGGCTGTGTCATAGATCAGTAACATCCGTGCCAAAGGTCAGTAATCCACAATTGACCGCACATCCCTAATTACACGTTCACATATATCACATCAACTGAATAAACACACCGCCAGCCCAAAACACAAGCAAGGTAAAACACTTTGAAATTACATAATCATTTCTAAGTTTATTCCGAAAGTATTTCTCGTACTAATTTTTGCTATGTTCATGATGCTTGACTATGATTGAGTGATATTAAGTTTCTATGACGTATACATTTGTTCATACAATGCATTTGTTTTTGTATGTGTTTGCACTTCAGAACCTGAAGAAGGCCTCACAAGCCGAAAGCTCGTAATAAAATTGTAAAGTACAGCTGCGTCTCACGTTCCTAGACCATTTTCTTTTCACGCCTACATTATTTTAGATCCTCTTTCATTTGATGTAACTCATATAATGCATATTTCACGCATGAGTGATTAAAATCAATTTGAAGAGAGGGAACCAAAAAGTAATTTGGGGGACAGTATCTGAATTTCAGGGAGAAAAATCACATTCCAAGAAAGTTCAATTTCTGCCCTTTCATATGACACTTCAATCAGCAAAAATGAACAAGGAATAACAAAGTTATGTTTGTTTAAAATGATGCTTGCATTTCCATAATTTTATTAAAAGAATTCGTTTTCACTGGCTGCCTGTCGTAGCAACAAAAAGAATTGAAAAAAGACTTAACTTCGTTTCGTTGACGATCAGCCATAGACGAAACACTTCAAAAGGGGTGATAGTATCCAAAGAGTATCCCTTGAGAGCGCACAGGGAGGTTCTATTATTATGTGATACGCTATTTACAAGAACGGAAAATTAAAATTGTAAGTATAAGGGGGAGACAAACCTGTTTGACAGTAATCCCCTTTAAAGCCTTCGAGACAAAAGCACTGGAAACCGCCATCGATGTCTGAACACGTGCCTCCATTATGACAAGGGTTACTCAGGCACTCGTTGATATCTGGAAAGTAGCATTGTTCATTTAGTGAAAGTAATCGAAATATTGATATTGTTTCACCTCAACATGGCTATAATATTGTCATTAGTTTTGGGTGATTTGGTGGAGAAAAGCAACAAATTTGCAAAATACCTCGTGGATTTTATAACTTTCATGAAGTGATTAAGATCAATCGTGTTTTAGTTGTTTATCTTATTTGTTAATCAATTAACTGTCGTGCTTTTTTCGTCAGAAAACTTCCCTTTTAAAACTATTTCAACGTATTTCGAGGTTAAAAGAGTTTTCCATGTTTGTTTTTATATATTAATGAATAAGTTTATTAATGTTTTATTGTTAGAAAAAGAACTCACCTTCAGTCCTGTCTGCTGTTAGATTCACTAAGAATCCACTTCCCATAAGCGAACCGACCGCTCTTCGTTTCCTTCTACTGAAGTCCCCAGTATCCGACACAAATCTAAACCACAATTTTCGAGTGGGTGAGGTAATATCTTCAGGCAATTCACTTCCAGTCAACTCCACTAGAATTGTGGGTACTAAAGGACTCCAGCCGTAGCCCACGGTAAGCGAAGAACCGTCGGTGATGTTAAAGAAGTCGAAACGCGCCCTCACGCTGTAATCCTGAGGAGCCATTATCCGCCAAATCTCGTACACGCTGTCGCTTGCATCATGAGGAAAGTCTGGTGAGCGGAGCTGTTGGAGCGTAGATCCGTTCACCAAGATTAGAGGATTGTCATCTGTTACAACAAAAATAGGATAACACTAAATGTGGCAGAAATACAGGTATGTTTTTTCCTACAAAAAAAGACATACGAGAATATTAAGACATTTTAAGATCATCTGATCATTCTGAAGATTCTTAAATCCCTAGAATTTCACCATGACACAAAATCGAATCTTATTACCTCTCGGATCCACAGCGTTCAGTGTTGCCATGAATCCAACGTTAGTAAGTTCGTAATTACTGGAGAATTTGAGCCACATATGGCGGCCATGTGACGTCACAGTCGACCTTAACCCATAGCCCGTCAGCCTCGCAAGTTCTGTGTAACTCAGTGGCGTCAGTCCATCGCCCACAAACAAGAAGTCGAAGTTCGATTCGGTAGCGAAGTCGACGATGTCCAGCCTGACGCTGTGGTTGACAGGGGCTGATACCTTCCAGACGATGTTATCACCGATGTTGTAGTCGGAAGGGTAATTTGGAGAAGTGATGTTCACTGGGACGGCACGCTCAAGGGTGATTTCAGTAACACCCGGTGTTATTGCTGAAAGAAATATTAATATAACCAGAATACTTATGATTTTTTTGTTTAATCCGATGAATAACACCAAAACATATTTTTGAGGGTCAATATCGCTATTCATAAGGACCGCTATTCATAAGGTTCGCTATTCATAAGGTCCATTATTCATAAGGACCGCTATTCATAAGGTCCGCTTTTCATAATTGGAGAAAAGGGTCATTATTCATAAGGGTCATTGTTCACAAGGACCGCTATTCATAATCAAAGAAGAGGGTCGGTATTCATAATATTAGAAGAGGGTTGCTATTCATAATACGAAATCGGGGTCGTTATTCATAAGGGTCCTTATTCATAATATTACAAAAGGGTCGGTATACATAACACAGAAAGAGGGTCACTATTCATAATAAGAAATGAAGGTCGCTATTCATAATACGAAATGAGGGTTGCTATTCATAATGCAAAATGAGGGTCGCTATTCATAATAGGACAAGAGGGTCGCTATTCATAATAGGAGTAGATGTTCACTATTCATGATACGAAAAAGGTTCACTATGCATAATAAATATAGAGGGTCGCTATTCATAATAAGAAATGAGAAGAGAAACGATTTATTGTATCACTCTCGACTCTTAATCCTTGTCTGAATTCAGTTCCCCCCCCCCCCCTCGCTTTCACCTTTCATTAAGTATTAGAGAAAGAAGACGATCCGTTGTACCATTCTCGACCCTTTTTCCTTGTCTGAATTTGGTTCCCCCTCCCCCTCCGGCGCGAAGCGCGGAAGCTTTGATGTTTCATAAAATTATTAGAATAAGAAGAGGATTTGTTGTACCATTCTCGACTATTAATCCTTGTCTGAATTCTACCCCCCCCCCCCCTTACGCAAAGCGCGTAAGCTTTGATCTTTCATTGTTTAATGCAATTATTAGAGAAATAAGATGATTTGTTGTTCCATTCTCGACTTTTAATCCTTGTCTGAATTCAGTTTCCCCACCCCGCGCCTTACGTGGAAGCTTTGGTGTTTCATTAAATTATTAGAGGAAGAAGACGATTCGTTGTTCCATTCTCGACTCTGGCTACGCGCCTGCTTTAAAGGGAAAATGAAACAATCATTATTGTGATAGCACACAATAATGTTAGAAGAAATGAAAAAGAACAACAATTATTGCAACAACCATGGATAAATCACGGCCGGGAGCGTGGGTCGAGTGTCATATCATAGTTTTGTGTTATTGGGCGAGGGGGCGTAACGACCAAGCGAGATTTTGCAATGTTGAATGCTGACATTATGCACTCTAGGAAATCCCTAAGCCCAACATGTACGTTCTTTCCGCTTTAATTATATCTTTCTAGCTATATTTCTAAATTTCCTGGGGGACGTGTCCTCATATCGGGCCCAGGATTGCCGCCCTGTCCATGATTACTACCAACATGAGCTCAAATACAAGCTCAAGCGAGTTTATATGAGCTGAAGCCAAACGAAGGGCAAAATAAGAGTTGTGAAGCGGCCCCCTACCGTTAATTACAAAATTGACTTTGCAGGGCAGGGGCTGTTTTAACGTTTAAATTTGATTCCGTGGCTCGAAAATTACTGTCACTAAGCGCCATTTCCTTGTCTTTCCACCTTTTTTCACCCGACTCCCCACCCCCCCCCCCCCCCCCCACTCATTGTTATCTAGGGTAAGCGTACGCATTTCCCTCTCTTTGAAAGCACCCCTCTATCTCCGGTGTGTAAAGTCAGTATACGGGCCGGATTTTCTCTTTTCTCTTTTCTTGTCTCTTCTCCTTTCTTTTGTCTTCTCCTTTTTTCTTCTCTTCTTTTTAACCTCTGTTTTTGCGCCGCCAATAAGGGGGGGCGGCCGTTTCGGCACCGAGTATGCCTGTGGTGTCCAGTGGCGTTTCTGGCGTTTGTTCTCGTTTGGGGGGGGGGGGTAAGGGGGGCGCAAAAATGTATCTTTTACCCCTCTTTATTTTCTTTCTCTTCTCTTTTTTGCTGAGGGGAGGGGGAGGCAAGGGCATTTCGATCCAAACCTTGTTGGCGGAAAAATCGCAACTGACATCCCGTTTCTTTACTTTTCTTCTTTCTCTTTTTTCTTTCACCTTTTTCTCCTCTTTTTTATGGGGGAGGGGGTGGAGGCAAGCCCCCCCCCCCCCCCCGATTAGCTTCTTTTCCCCCATTTCTTTTCTTCTTCCTCTTCTTTCTTTCCTTTCTCTCCTCTTTACCTTTGCCTTCTTTTCCTTCTCTCTCTTTCTCTCTCCTTTTTTTTGGGGGGGGGGGAGGGGGGGCGGGGGGCATTGCATTTGCCACCTCGCCCCCTGGATCCGCGCCTGGATATACGGACGGTAAACGGTACGAAAAATGGCCGGTATAGGCAGGGGCGTCGCTAAAGGGGGGAGGGTGAGGGGTGCGACACCCCCCCCCCCCCACCTGTCGGGATATTGTCGGTAAAATTGCGCTGCTGTCGGGGGAAATGAGAAAAGGGGGAGGGGGAAATGAGGGAAAGGAAAAGATAGAAAACAAGAAAAGGAAAAGATAGGAAAAAAAGGAAAGAGAAAAAAGGGAGAAACCGAGAAAGAGAAAATAAAGAAAAGGACAAAAGGACAAAATGAGGAAAAGGAAAGGAAAGAAACGGGGGATGAAAAAGAGGAGAGAGAGAGGGGGGAAAGCCTGAGAGAAGAAGGGTGGGAGTAAGAGAGAGAGAGAGAGAGAGGGGGGCTTGGGGGTAGTTGCCCCCAGATTTGAAACGTGGTTTTTTTTTTTAAATCGATACCAGTGATTTACAAATGTTGCTGAAATAAAACGATTTTCCAAGTTTCCGAGATTTTGTTCACTTTTTTGTAAATCATACTTTTATATGCGTTTGTTGAAAAGTGACTAATTCCAAAATTTATACTCGGGCTGATATGCTACTTTAGTAGCTAACGTGTCATGGTGTGAACCCCCCCCCCCCCCCACACACACACACACACACACATACACCTTTTTGTAAAGGTATGTTAATGTGGAAATATAAAGAAAGAAAGAAAGGTGACCTGCCGGTTTCACAAATGAGGTATCAAAATATGCTCATCTGACCGTAATTAAATGCCTAAAACCCCCGAGCTTCCGGGGGTATGCAGACCCCACCAAAAGCCCTTTGGCGGGCCCCTGGAACCTCATCTGACCTTATTTTAATGCTTAAAACACCAAAGCTTCCTTGACCCTCACCGGGGCTTTGCCCCCGGACCCCACGCCAATTTAAACAATATTGCCCTACTTTTTCGCAGTGTATATGCTAATGGTCCTGTCAAACTCCGTTTGTTTTCGATGTTAGGAAAGTTTCAGGAGATCAAGTTTTTGGATAAATCAAGTAAGGTTAATTAATATGATTATTAGTATCCTGAGGCATGATAATTCATGGAAAACTGAAATCTTGAAACTCTTCATTGGCTGAAATTGAAAAGCTTCTGTGTGCCTGGATCTGACTAAGGCTATATAATTTGTAGTTCCATAAGTCCTACTAAAAGTTACTTTTTACACAAATATTATTTTCGTATAAACAATTCGTCCCTGTTTTCACGAAGTGACGGTAGTGAGGAAAATCGCACATATTTTCACTTTTGATTTTTTGGCATTTTTGGACATCATTCACTAATACCTTGAACCTCACAAAATTTCAGATCATAATAATGTCTAATTATGTCACTATGACGATGACGTAAACAAGAAAATACCTAGCAAAAGGATTTTCTGTTTTCACGAAGTGACGGCCAAGTACGCGCTTAACAGCCGTCAATTCGTGAAAACATCGTTTGCTCTTTTCCTGCTTTTAATATTTTCACGAAGTGACGGTAGTGAAAATTTCGCAGTTCGGAACAGTCACAGACCATGTAAAGGTGAGTTTTTAAATGTTTTTTAAAGGTAAATTAATGTGGTACACTCTTTTGATTCATTCTGATTCTTTGTAAGCCATAAATATGTCCATGAGCACAGAAATGTGTGAAAAATACACCGCCGTTCCACATATCGCCCCATATACTTATTTTCATGTAAGTGAATAAAGGAGTGATGTATCATGTGATCCAAAACTAAAAAGATCAACTTATATACATCTAGACTAAATAACTTAAGTGAAGAGTCTTTCTTATTTAGCTCCACACCAAATATTAATGCTATTAGGTTCTTTTAATATCTGCTTAAGTTATAATTTTGAACAAAGTTTTACAGAAAGAAAGTTAGATAGATTAGATCTAACAGGCCTAGAGTCTAGGCTAGACTCTAGTAGAGTAGAGCTTTACTTTTATTTTTTCAGTACTTTACTATTTAGCTAATTTGTTTTAGAGTCTAGAACTCTAGTTACTCTAGATCATCATTTTATAATTATCAGTTTATGTCAGCCACTTCTCATCAATCTAGAATCTAGACTAGAGGTGAGTAGATCAGGATCTAGACCAGACTGAGACCTTTCTTGTAAGGCGTGCCTGGGGTTAAAGAGACTTCAGGGCTCCAAGCCCAAGGCCAACATCAACATGGCCAAGGGCAAAGGGAGTTATGAAAATTATCATCATGCTGAGCTGAGATGACCTGGGATGTAGCTCCTCCTGGTTAACTGTTAGGGAATTCAATGATTTGCCTTACAAGCAAAGAAGGACATGAATGAACATTTAATTAAAAATTGGAAATTAGATACAGTCCTGCCCTGAAAATGAATAAATGGCACCATCCGAAAAAGGAATACTTTTGTTTTGAGACTGAAGTAATCATGAGTAGTCTACCTTTTGGGGAACAATGTCTACATGTTTAGCTTAGTTTCTCTCATTATCTGTACTCTGTGTCTGTTATATTCAAAGGCAGCACTTTAGTACCCTTGGTCCCTCACCCTATACAACAATTCTTTTAAACAATTGTTCTTGATACCAGCAAATGTTGCCCAACTCCACTTCGTATTTTAAAGAATTTTCCAAGCAAGCACCATACCAGATGATGTACATGTCTCACTACCAGTACCTACACTTCAGTGGTAATGACATTATGATGATGT